ACGGCTCGATTCTTGTGATGGTCGACTCCCTCAGCAAGATGGCCCATTTCGTTCCTGCAGACACGTCATTCACAGCAGCATACACCGTGAAGCTTCTCGCAGACCGCCTTATCCGCCATCACGGCTTTCCAGAGGTGCTCATATCGGACCGAGATCCCCGCTTCTCTTGGGACCTGTGGCAACGGCTCTGTAGCTATTTTAACATCAAACGGTGGATGTCCTCGTCCTACCATCCCCAAAGCGACGGTCAAACTGAAAGGGTTAACTGCGCACTGGATTAGATGCTTTGTACCTACATCCAATCTGACGAACGCGAGTGGGAGCGCTTGCTTCCGGGGTAAGGACTTGCCTACAACATGGCAAGCCATTCATCCACCGAGCTCTCTCCCTTCGAAGTCATGATCTGCGAGAACCCGCTGACTGCTGCGACTCTTGATATCCTAGGCACGTTAGCCCCTACGTTCACTTCTCCGATGACTAAGCTTTTCCGGCAGCTCTGCGACAGAGCAGAGAGCCACATCCTGAAGGCGAAATGGCAGCAGATATACTGCGCAGACACAAAGCGCCGAGCCGTGGAGTATGCAGTGGGCAAAAAGGTTTGGCTCAGTAGCGAGCACCTACAAGCTTCGACCAGCTGCGCTAAGCTCGAGCCCCGTTACCGAGGGCACTTTGAAATCATTGAACGTATACGGACCGTCGCTTACCGCCTCGCTTTGCCTCGTACTTATGCATGCCACAACGTTTCCCATGCTTCGAAGTTAGTTCCCCGTCGCCCCCGCCCTCCAGACTTGGTTCCTCAGAAAGCCGATACCGCCTGGCCCCCTATACGCGATGCAGCAGTCAGTCCAACAGAGGAGTATGAGGTCGATTATATTATGGACAAGCGCGGCTCAGGAGCCGACGCCCAGCTCCTCGTCAAGTAGCGCTGTACTCACTTGGGAGCCCGCTCACCACCTAAAAGGGTGTCGGGCTCTGTTTCGTGCTTGGCAACGCGGCCAGCGAAAGCGTCTTCAGGCTCGAAACTATCTTGCTCCTTCCGAAACGTAGCGGTTTGGCTCCGTCAGCTTCTGCGGCCCGCAGTGCGGGCAGCCTTTCATGACGAGGGGGAAGGGAGCGCTGCGCACCGCATGTGCTTATGACATTAGCATCAGAAGGGAGCAGAGACCGGAAAAGCAGAAATCATGTGTTCGGGGTAAGCTGGCTCAGTCCGGCAAGGAAGGAATTTGTAGTGCGCAGTCACTACAATAGGGCTTGCTGGTGACCTTCAGATGATAGCTAGCTGGTGACCTATACGAGGTTAAGAGGTGAAGAAGCTTATCGAGCGCGGAAATGTCTTACTAGTAAAATAGAAAAGCAATTTTTCAGCAAAATAACGTGTATAAACTAGGCATGCCTACGAATATCCGAAGACTGGGGCTGGCGACAACGCTGGCGCCGGTGCGGGTCACCTTCCTACCGGGCAAAAAAAGCAAGAACCCTGAGGAGCGACTTTTATGAAATTTGGTTTTCAGAACTCAGAACAGATGAACATTTTTAATAATTTGGTGTTCGTTTCATGACTGATGCGTCGATGGTAGAGAGAATTTCAGAGAGTGCGTAAGTCGTGGGCCAGGTAGCATCGTAGTCGCTGCAGAGATCGCGGTGTACTAGAGAACCAGCGCCATTGTAGTCCACAGCACCTTCAGCTGCGACTACGCTCCTACCTGGCCCAAAAATAGGTCGCCCTATAAAAATTCTTCTACCTTTGACGCATCTCTTATGAAGCAAAACCAAAATATCAGTAATAGCAGTCATCTTCCCAAGTTCTGAAATCGATTTTCCTTGGAAGCTCCCCACTCAGGGTTCTTGCTTCCTTGGCGGCCCTGTGGGTTGGTGGCCCGCACCGGTGCGGGCGTTTTCGCCAGCCTGAATCTTAGGATATTCACAGACATATCTACTTTACATATGCTATTTTGCAGATAAGGAATGGCTTGCTGACGCTTGATAACTCGAGTACGCTATTTGCCGAGCGTCAATACACGGAGCTCACGTGGTGCGCAGCCATGGCCTAGTTTGTATTGATATGTTGGAGTGTAGCTTTCTTGTGTGTTCGGTGCGAGATGTTCTGTTTTTATGTAGCTCTACAGAAAGCGCTGAGAAAATAACGGCTCACCGTTTTCGGGAGGCGGGCATTT